AATTTTTATCAATTTTGGCCGAAAAATGAAATTGTTTGAAACTTGCAGGGAAGATGCCTGAGGGGCCCCAGAGTACAATCGAACTGGAATTATAGATTGGGCATTTTAAAGAAAGTTTGCATCGCTAATTTAGATCAAAATTAGTTAAAATTATTTGTTTCGTCTCTTTAAGTCGGTGTTTTTTGCCCAAATCTTCGATATGTTTAGTGTTTGAAAGTCGATTGATGTTCCTCTTGCACTCAAAGACATTTCTGAGTTTTTTTTGGAGAAAAGTCAATTTTTGGCCAAATTTGATCAAAAAGTAAGGCTAGCCCCTTGCAATTTTTTTCAATTTTGGCCGAAAAATGAAATTGCTTGAAACTTGCAGCGAAGATGCCTGAAGGTCCCCAGAGCACATTCGAACTGGAATTTTGGACAGATTGGGCATTTTAAAGAAAGTTTGCGTCGCTAATTTAGGTCAAAATTAGTTAAAATTATTTGTTTCGTCTCTTTAAGTCGGTGTTTTTTGCCCAAATCTTCGATATGTTTAGTGTTTGAAAGTCGATTGATGTTCCTCTTGCACTCAAAGACATTTCTGAGTTTTTTTTGGAGAAAAGTCAATTTTTGGCCAAATTTGATCAAAAAGTAAGGCTAGCCCCTTGCAATTTTTTTCAATTTTGGCCGAAAAATGAAATTGCTTGAAACTTGCAGGGAAGATGCCTGAGGGTCCCAGAGCACATTCGAACTGGAATTTTGGACAGATTAGGCATTTTAAAGAAAGCTTGCGTCGCTAATTTAGGTCAAAATTAGTTAAAATTTTAAATTTTGTCTCGAATAGTCGGTGGTTTTTGCTTAATTCTTTAATATGTTTTGTGTTTGAAGGTCGATTGATGTTCCTCTTGCATTCAAGGACATTTCTGAGTTGTTTGGAAAAAAGTTAATTTTTGGCTAAATTTGATCAAAAAGTAAGGCGAACCCCTTGCAATTTTTTTCAATTTTGGCCGAAAAATTAAATTGCTTGAAACTTGCAGGGAAGATGCCTGAGGGTCCCTAGAGCACATTGGAACTGGAATTTTGGATATATTGGGCATTTTAAAGAAAGTTTGCGTCGATAATTTAGGTCAAAATTAGTTAAAATTATTAATTTTGTCCGAAAAAGTCTTAGATTTTTGCCCAAATATTAATATGTTTAGTGATTGAAGGTCGGTTGATGTTCCTCTTGCATTCAAAGACATTTCTGAGTTGTTTGGAGAAAAGTCAATTTTTGGCCAAATTTGATCAAAAAGTAAGGCTAACCCCTTGCATTTTTTTCAATTTTTGCCGAAAAAATGAAATTGTTTGAAACTTGCAGGGAAGATGCCTGAGTGTCCCTACAACACATTCGAGCTGGAATTTTGAATAGATTGGGCATTTTAAAGAAAGTTTGCGTCGCTAATTTAGGTCAAAATTAGTTAAAATTTGTAATTTTGTCTCAATAAGTCGGTGTTTTTGGCCCAAATCTTCAAAATGTTTAGTGTTTGAAAGTCGATTGATGTTCCTTTTGCATTCAAAGACATTTCTGAGTTGTTTGGAGAAAAGTCAATTTGAGTATGTTGTTTCTTCCATTAAAGTTGACAATTCGTTCGGACTAGTGTATTTTCCACACTGAACACACTGGGTTGTTCTGACAACATTATCTCATTTGATTGACAATTTCTCCTGTGACTCCACAATTTGGTGTTACTACATCATGTCAATTTACCAGATGTTATTTCAGTTCAATGCATCGGGTATTTCTAGAGTTATCGTCTGGAAAATGAGTATGTTGTTTATATTCCATGAAAGTTGACAACTCATTCCGACTAGTGTATTTTTTTGCACTGAACACACTGGGCTGTTCGGACTAATTTATATTATATTATGACAATTGCTCTTGACATTCAACATAATTGTGTTATTATATCATATCAAATCACCAGATGTTATTTTAGTTCGATACATCGGCTATTTCTAGCAAACGAGTTCATCACTGTTTTTTTTCCATGAAAGTTGACAGAACTTGTTCGGGCTAGTGTATAGTTTGCACTGAACAAGTTGGGTTGTTCGGACTATATTATTTCAATTGTTTCAATGGTTTTAGTCCAATAAACTTAATAGTTTTCAGTTATTGTGTGACATAATTGCAAAGGTGTCATTGTTGATCTGTTGAGAAGTAGCTGAGCACCAATGATGGTGGATACGTGCGCCGTTATAATCACCCATTATTATTGTTTTCAAAATGTTATTTTGTCCGAGGAAGTCACCAATGGTGACTATGTGGTAATTGTCCTCAACTGGTTTTTTTTTGGTCAATAATTAATTTGGTTCAAAGACGTTATGATTTTGAGATAGGTGCTATAGTTTCGGCAGGAAATACACAGCCCAATTGAAAACCATAATTGTTCCTAGAGTGTATTGCAAAGCCACTGGAAACAGTAGCCTTTGCCTTAGAATAGTTAATATGGTTTGGACCTATAAGATACTCATTTCATTCAATCTATGTCAAAAGAACTAACATTAATGAATCTACAAGATTGGTTCAAACAAAACCCCGATTTCCTCTATGCCAGCCAAAGACATTCTCGAGGATGACCCTAAGAAAAATATAGGAGAATTAAGCCAAAGTCGTGCTGATATGATACAGCATTGACGGGCTATTATTATCTAAATGTCTTCCGTCCCTGAGAGTAATAATGTTTGAAAAGATATCTTTCTTTTGCATAAGATTTAAAAAGGAAAATCCCCCAAGAGGAAAGTCTTGATTGAAGAACTTTCCACGAACTCTTGAAAATTAAGCCGCGCTGCTTTAAGTACTTTTCAACTAAAACTAAGAGGTTCGGGTTATTTAAAATTCGAAAGGTTTTCAAAAAACCACAACATCACATTATTCTCGTTTTACTCAAAAGTTCACACAGGCAACAAAAATGGGAACAGAACACAATTGCTTTTACCAACACCAAACAAAAAGGTGAAATTTATTGCAGTTCATATAATTTGACCCAATCGAGAAGGACATTTACCCATTTCTGATGACGTTAACATTGACCCAACGTCGTGATTTGCTTCGGGTAACGAAATAATTAAATTGAAATTCATTTAGCAATATTTAAAGGGCCCATGTAATGATTTTTTAATGCAATTCTTGAAATTTACTTTGTGTTCCATTTAACTTTTTTTGTAATCTTCAAATTGCCATTTTTAGGGTGTTTTGGTGCCTTTTTGATTTTTACGTTCATACAAATTTCATATTCAATAGCAAAACTGTGAAGATATTGAAGGCAGTAACTTCAGTTTTACGTCTGCTTCAGTATAAAAAGCCATCAGAATTTGGGGGGTTGGCTGTTGTTATTGTTTTCTACATTCAGTGGTTCTTTGTTGTTTCAGTACTGGGCAGTAAGACAATGAGAAAACATTTATGCACAAATCTTTTCAAATAAGCAGAATTTGGGGTTTACAATTTGAAGAGAAAAATACCTAATCTGAAGAATATCCTTCTAAAGTGCCATCACAGCAACAACACGCTCATCATTTGTCAGGAAAAGCATGACGCATTGCAAATGTATTTGAAAAGTGAACTTTGAAGCTTCTTTTTGCCAACAAGGGATGTCTTATAGTTTTTATAAATTTCAGAGGAATTGATACAGTATTTCATGTTCGATTCATTTCATTGACCCTTTAAATATATATGACTGAACAAACATTTCATTAAAATGAACCAACAAAATGAAGTCAAATTAAGGAGAAAGAAATAGACGTTCGCGCAGCAATCGTCTACGATATCCGTGCATAGTCGGTGATTAATAATGTAATACTACCGCTTTTGACCTACAGATTGTGACCAATCAACGGGCGTGTACTATCGATGCCTTCGGGAGCCCGATGACCGGTGCGAGGGCAGCAGGAGATGTATCAAGTATGAATTTTCAAAAAGTGCCTATAGTGTTCTTTGGTGCTCTGGTGGAGGTCGCCATGTTCCTCCTTCATAAAGATTAGGATCCGCTGACGGCTATTGACCAATCAACAGACTTCGTGTGGTTTTTTTTTGACCAAGATTGCGTCACGCATTAATTTGCATATACCCAAACACACGGGCTTCGCAGGGAATCGATGATATACGTAGGCCTATACAGGTGTGAATTACTCGACATGCGACAAAACCCCCAAATTTTCCTTTTACTAATTGATACTGTCGAAACTGGAAATGAATTTAAATTTGATGTTTTAAGAATGCTAAATCAAAACAAAAGAAAACAAAAAAGAGAAACAAAGTTAAATTGCCAGTTGTCTAAATCAGTTCATGTAGTGCCGGCTCAAGAGTTGGTATTCCGAATCTGGAAAAGAAACAGAAATGTAGGTTAATTCTTATACATCTGAGGACAAGTTATGAGGATTTTTAAAATTTAACAAGAAACTACAAATGTTGACAATCTTTGAGTCACCTAAACTGAATTTCCATTGTTTCCTAAGAACAACTAAATAACCGATGGACCAATTCAACACCATTAACACTAGCACGCACACACACAAATTGGTATCCTAGGCTTGTGGCGACATCGCTTTGTTCTCGTGTACAAAATCGTGTGAGGGTCGAAAGCTATTCTCAAAATACTCACATTTTAACCAGAATTACTTTCCTGGGTTGAAATTCCAACTAAATGTCCCTCACATGAAATACTTTAATTAGCGACGAATTCGTATACCTTGGGAATTCCTAGTTATTGAGTAAAATCTGTATATCTATTTCGTGAAATCCTTGTGGAGACATATTCACCTTTAGAAATTGCCTTGTGTGGAGAATGTTATACTCTTTTGTTCCGTATTATACCCGGGTCTCCGGGTATCAAGGCATCAATTTTCGAAACAACTCAGCAGAGAAACTATGACACGCGCTGATGTTAAATAGTTCTTTATGCATAAACCTCATTTTACATATCAACGGAAAGAACACACACCAAAAGCAACCAAGATTATGTTAATTGGTACCTTTGATAGGAAGATTCACATTAGTCACAAATCAGCTCGTCCTCTGCATGGGAGCAGTCCACAATACGATCACATGTCAGCTTGTACGGAATAGTATGCCCGTCGTCACAGGAGAACGTTCCTTCTGAAAAACCAAAAAACGGACAGCGATTCACTATTGTACAAAAGTGAATGTTAATTGGTCAGAACATTTCATAAGATGGCACATGGAATGTTCCACTGCAAGAGGTGACTCCGAGACTCCTTCAGTCAGCGAATTAATTTGACTGCATTCCTTATTTGGGTTTAATAGGTATAGGATCAGTTGTCATCCGCAAATATATACTTTGACACATTCTAGTGAACGTAACCGACATCACAGCAGGAAAGTACGACATTGTATTTCAGACTCGGTATCATCCCCAACCCCAGCGATTTAGAGATCGAGAAATTGTTGACTTTTTATCTCATATATAAACAACGTTTTGTCATACATTTACACGACATGTACCAGGTCCTATTTTGTATATTCACCTGTGCAAGTTGTACCGTCCCCGGTGTAGCCAGCATTGCACGCACAAGTGAAACCGCCGGGGGTGTTAGTGCAGGTGGCATGAGGATCACAATTATTGGCTGATGCATCGCTACATTCGTCCACATCTAAAATCACGAAATATAAAGAACGAATGTTTTTAGCCAGCCCAAATTAAACTGACGGAATGACAGAACTCCCATTGCAAATAAAATAATTAAAAAGCCAAAATATTTAATATCAGGAAAGACGAAAACTGTTCAATCCCTGTATTCCCGTTTGGACAAAAAAAAATAAAAATAATGAGTTAGCTTAAAAAGCTGGGTACTATGTTAACAACCACTCTCGCAACAACTGAATACATGAAGAGTTAGGGGAGACCACTGGAAGAGACATTTGAACGCGTTAACGATGGCCACTGGCGCTCACGTCACACAAATGGCAAAGACACAACGGGTATGTGCAGATTCCGGAGGTTGTCCCACAAAAAACTTAACTGCCGAAAACCAATTAACAAAGGTAAATTGCATGTGAGTTTTGGAATATTTTCAAATTGCCTCTAAAAGTCAGGTAACCAATCTACCACATCCACTTTATTTCATTCAAATCGATGCATTGAAACGAAAGCAATGATTCAACGAACTCAAGGGTTAACAAAAATCGTCTCGGGCCACTTTTCTTGAACTGAACGCAAATACAGAAACACACAGAGGATTTATTTATTTTGTTCAAGAGTAACGTGTGACTTATTCTACCGGCTTCGATAGGTAAACTTGATAAATAAAAAGAGTGGCCCAAGTGGTTTTTCAAGTACCGTGTTGTGAATGCTGTATCTTTTGAACAAAATATCCGAATGAAACCAACTAAAAAGCATTTTGAAGACCAATTATTCTACTCAGCAATATATTAGACATGATTCTGAATACTACCCCAACTTTTCTGAAAACTTGCACGATTCGACACGTTTGTTTTGTGGGACAACCTGTAGTCGCCTGGGTACGGACGTCAGTGTGCGCACGCGGTTTATTCTCTTCCCGGGACCCGTGCAAGTTGTCACAAAGCGCCATCTAAGTTTATGCACCGATTCCACAGTAAACTTTACAAATCGAATCCTGCCTTTGTATATATTTTCCAGTTCTAATGAAGCGAATTTGGTTTTGTTATTACGCACCTCTGCAAATTAAACCATCCCCGGTGTAGCCAGCATTGCACGCACAATGGAAACTACCAGGAGTGTTAATGCAGGCAGCATTGGAATCACAGTAGTCTAATCCATCGGCGCATTCATTAACATCTAAATCGGGAAATAAAACATTAAAATGGTTTATACTTGCACTCACTTCAATAATAGAATAACAGAATTTCTAACAAACCATAAAATGCACTCGACCTCCCAGTACTTCAAGTCTATGGTGATCTAGGGAGCCAGTGAATTAGAACTTTTCAAATTATTTTACCTGTGCAGTTGATGCCATTCCCGGTGTACCCGGCATGACATGAACAAGCGAAACCCCCGGGAAAGTTACTGCAGACGGCATTGGAATCACAGTTGTCTGAGAAAGTGGCGCATTCATCCACATCTAATATTACAAAATCAAAATACGTGGTTTAGACCGGTAGGCCCACTCACTTAAAATAACTGAATGATAGTATTTTCAACAGAAAAGAACTTCTTTTAGTTACATGATGAATGCTTACAGAAAAGGCGAAAAGAAAATCGAGTAAACTGATTTTTTTTTCACAAGTAAAAGCAAGAAATAGAAGCCATAGATAACTTAGTTAACTGTGCAACTTTGGCGATTTGGTCCATGAGTTTGAAATAAAAAACACCACTAAAACGATTCTGCTTATTCACCTGTGCAAATTGTACCATCTCCGGTGTATCCACTGTTGCATGTACAAGTAAAACTACCATGAGTGTTAGTGCAGGCTGCATTAAGATCACAGTTGTCTAATCCATCGGCACATTCATCCACATCTAAAATAATTATTAAACAAAAAATGAAAAAGGTATCGAGGGGCATGAAACTTTCACACATTCTTGAACCACAAAATTAAATCGAAAATATTTAGCATAGAGATCCGATACCCCAGCTATAGAACACGTTTTAAAAAAGGAAATTGAAGCTTCAGTTAACTTTACAAAAAATCGTGTTAAGTTAGATGATTGCCAGTTATAAGTCATGAAGACCTAATCTGTTCTGCTTATTCACAAAATTTTTACGTTACATACCTAGTGTGGACATTCCTTTTTTTTTCGTTAAGAAAAACCTGTGAAAAACACTCATTTTACCCACAATGTGAAAACTCCTTCACCCCATTTTTTTCTCTCTATAGGCCTATAATTCCCTTGAGGGTTTCTCTTTATTTTGCGACGAATGAACCTAACCCAAAAATGCCTCTAAAGATTTTTTTTTCACAGAGGGGAGAAACCATGTGTGAACCTGGGCAAGTCTACACAACGTATCTGAAACCTGGTTTATGTGGACATCTTTTGTTCGGAAGTCCACACAAGTGAATGTAATTTTGTACGCTCGTGTAAGTTGCATCATCCCCATATATAGACATTGTAGCTATGGCTACAATAATGAATGGCTTCAGAGGCTGCAAATTATTTTCTTTTCTTTAATATCTTTTATTGATTCCTCCCTAGCCTTCTGGCCTACCGGTTTCTTGCTGACAAACATAGTGTCTGTAATTGTAACATGATTCGTCACTCCATTGGTTGGAATCCAGCCACATTTGCACGCAGTCTGCTCCGTACAGATCATCTGGTTGTCCTGGAATCCAGTTTCTGTAGGGGGAAATGGGTTCCAAATTATGCACTGATTATTCCACAAGACAATGAAGTTTGCCTATGACCATTCCATATTTTTGGTTATTTTCTTTACAAAACTTTTTTTTTAATGAAACATTCATGATGAGAAATCAATCGGAGACGGGAAAATGTTTTTTACTTCCGGTTTTCACATCTGGCTTTTGGTACCTAGGTCTCCTTGTCCAATCACGTTTGTTTTCACATCGCATGCTCTTACGTGGGAACGAAAATTGATAGTGACGTGGAGATTTACCTGTACACATCCGATGGATTATATATTTAGTCGGGCTTGCTTGCATACAGTTGTTATCAATTAACGGTCATTTTAGATTTATCTGCAAGTGAGAATTAGGCCTTCAAGTTTACTCAAACATGTTGTGTGTCCCAACGACATTTGATTGACTCCTATTTAAGTTCCAGTTTTTACCCAATGGCCGCCACAACAGTATTTCACAAATCTTTATCTTTATATGAGTGCTCCGAGTTCCAACAGTCCGGACATATATCTTAGATTTTCGGAAGTGAGAGGTCAATTTTTGGCACAATAGTTCTCTTTCACGTCATGCGATTTTTCAGTTTTCATGATGCTAGTAGCCATTTTACAAAGGCCTTTTCCGAGGGTGATTTTCTTAAAAAATCAATGTACCCAATTTCAAAAACTTGTTCACGCTAATGTGTGATCATCTTTGGATGAAATTTCTCCCAAAAGTCATTGGTTAACCCCCAGAACATTGAACTGAAAATGAAAGATGATGAAATAAGCTTTAATTTGATGCATGCTCTAAATACCTCAGAGAGTTGTGAGTATTTTAAATATTTTTTGGATGTGCGCGTAAATACCACTTAGGTCTATGGCAGTCTATTTACTGGCCTGGACCCTAATGTTTCTTTTCGAGGAATCTGGAAGCACGCCACCAAGGGTCAACTTTTCAGACTGACTTACGTGTAACTGGGCTTGGATCCGTCTGTCCAACGGAAGTCATCTTCAGTCATCCGGTCATTTAAACCAATCCACATGACATCATCATAACTATGACCCATATTCCACGGCATGTTACTGATGAAATCCTAGCCATTGGTACACAGAAACAACAATGTCAACATGACTATTAGACCAGTAGTTGAGCGCATTCACTTGTGAATAGTGCTGTATTCGAGATGCATGTAAAAGAAGTACACAAAATTAATGTACAGCGTGTTTAATACCCATACGTCATCTTACATAGACCTGTCGTGACATCTCTGTAAGGGCGGACTGTGCATGGTTTGGGTGTGTGCAGTACGATCTCGGACTAAAAATGCGAATGATTGAACTGAAGTAATTGTTTAAACCAGTTCGATGTTCCAAGTGCACATGTTCGAATCAAAGATTGACTTTTCCCGCAGAAATAAACAAGTTATATATACCATGGGCGGAAAATATAATTATTATTATTATTATTTTGGGCGGGGGGATATACGCCCTTCATCGTTTTTATTCGGGGGAGGCTAATGGCGTTGTCCCGCCAATAATAATCGCAGTGCGTAGACTGTTAACTAATGTCATCTAAATTACTTGCACATAATTTGTTTCCCAAATGGTGTATTAGTACCGATGAGTAATGCCACCAGACAGTCGTGTTTTACTATACTCTCGAGGACAATGCTTCGTGTTTCACTTCGTTCCTGTAATATAACACTCTCCCATAGACTTAACCACAAACCTACTACAGAGGACCGTTTTGAACAAAAAACCCAACTCCCGAGGACTGAAAGGATTTGCTGTTCTCCCTTTGTGTGTCGGTCCTCGGGTTGATGTAGAACACGCACACTCATGCGCGTGAACTAAAACACACATTCCGCTTGTGCACGTTTGCACAGAAATACTCATAATGAGCGTTAATGCGCATATAATGTGAAAGTTAGAAACGCATTATAAATTATACGTGCAAGTTTGCGTTGTTTGCGGACGTCAGTCTCGAAAGGGTGTAAAAGCGTTTTTTAAACAGAATAGGCCTACAAGCCATCCGATTGTTTCGAATATCCCCCCTAAAAAAAAAAACCCAAAACCAAAAACATTTCGGAGGAGTTGCGACTCTTTACTAAAATCCCACTTTGTTTTAGTAACTTACGTTTGTAGCCGAATCAGTGATGACAGCCATGTCGGCGCCTCTTTGCAGACAGTCATCCCTGCCAGTTGTCCAGTAACTATGTGGCCCCAAGTAGTAGCAGTTACCATTGAACTCCTTCCAGTCATCAGGACAGGTCTGGGCAGACACTGTACAACAAGAGGGAAGAGGGAAAGCCCAATGACCAACCTCGTCCCCGTGGTGCCGAGCAGCACTCTCCCACTGGTATCAGAACAAATTGATATAATGTGGTGCGGAATACTTGCACTCGGGTATACTCGTAACACTGTGAGTTAACATCCGCTTACGTTTTGTGTGATTTATTGTTGTTTCATAACATGACTTTAAAGTCAATTACCAAAGCAAACCTCGTTCGAAAAAAACATTCCAAGCAGGTTGTATGGGTGCACACCGGTAAATCGATCCGCCAAGCTCATGAATAAAAGTTATACCCTCAAAATATTCTATATTAGAGAGTTCTGAGCGCCGTAAAATTGGGGAATTGAAGAGATATGGTAGTGAACCTCTGGCCCGGACTTGGGGCTTCCAATTCTGAGCATTTTGGATGCTATTGGGCTCGAAAGTGGCGCTATTTTGCCATGTTGTGGAGGGATCGTTTTTCAAGATGGCTACTTTTCCGCTTTGGGGAAAATAGGGGTTGTCTTCTTTGCGTGAAAATATCTCGAAAAGTCAATGGTCAACCCACCATAAATCGAAAAGAAAATGAAAGATGACACATTGATCATCATTTTTCTGTGCAGCTTGAATACCTGTGAGAGTTTTGAGTATTTTTAAAAGAATTTTGAAGTATGGGCATTTAGCACTAGTGTCTATGGGAGTTTATTTGCAGGTATGCACCCGTATATTACCACTACAGCTGGTTGCCAACTAGGTGCTTGCGTAATCTGCAATCATTTAACGCTTGTGTAATCAACGTGATTTAAAACAAACACCACATAAATGCCCAATTTCTGTTTCAAATCAAGGCAAGTAGGAGCTATTTCTCCATACATATTTCTTGCATTAAGGCCTACCTAACACTTTCCTATTTTGGATGGTATGGAGTCTGTCACGTCTACGGATAGAAGAAGTAACTGTAACACTTGACTTATAACGTTACAAAAAGGCAATGAACAAACTGCCTGTAACTCACCGGTAGTAGCAAGAGCCAGCAGCAGAGCAAGAGCGCGTCCCATCTTGGCCATGACGTCCGATGTCGAACTGACATCTGGGTTGCAAATCGTCCAGTCTTTATTAGTTTCACGCGCGAGCAACAGGTGGTTGGATATTTACAAACAAAGCAATTAGTGAAAGCAATTTGGTTGTAAGTGCGAAGCTTAATGTCTCGCTGTGACATTAATTTGAGCCATTAGCCAGATCTTGCGTTTTTTTCTCTCTATTTTTACCATTTACTACTTTAGGTTAGAAAAGCCTGACTAAAGCTTTCGATTTACACTCCGCGAAGTTTCTATATATGTGAAAGTGACATTTGTGAGACAGGGGACGAAGGTCCATTTTAAATCTGATTGATTATATATTTTTTCAAGCTATATATCATGGGATATCGACATTTGTGGCCGATGTCGTGGTGTCAAGTTGTCCAAATAACCTCCCTATTGTTTTGCCAAGAAAAGTGAACTTTGCAATTGCCGAGCTACACGTATATGGTGCTATTCCAGAATACACACCCACATTTATTTCGCTCTACTACTTAAAATGAGGGTGGGGGCCAGGGGTGTGGGGTGGGGTGGGGGGGGGGGGGGGGGGGGGGTGGTGACAACAAATTTGCCAACAGACTATCCGTGCTAGGAGGAAAACAGGATTTTTTTCCCGGCCATCCGGCCTCCGCATATAATCGCAATGGGGGTTGTGAGGTTGGACACCATCTTCTGATAGGGGGCGCTGTTCACAGCAGATCTGATTCCAGCCGGGGTTACTCACCTATAAGCACACTTGTTGCCACTGTTCAACAGTAAGAGTTTGTTAGTTCACAATCTTTAATTTTTAGAGTGAAATAAACCAGCTAAATTGCTCCAATTAACATATACGTAATCAACCCATTTGTACATTTTAAGATGGCGATCGTTATACCGCCCTCTTTCGCCCATGGGAGACTTCTTTCAGGACGTTAAAAAATGATTACAATGCATCCCGCTGGTTGCTAAAAACTAATTAGGTCTTGGTGTGCGGTCACACCTTATGTTTGTAGATATCTGAGCAAGTTTCCTTGGATCTTAATATCTTCCATTGAATTCCGTGAATGATTTTGATGGGGAGTTTTCTCGCTGGTTCTTTGGGTATTCCCAAAACGGTAGGCCAATTCTCAAAACTTTTTTCCACAGCTGAAAACTGCTAAAAAAATATGTCGCTACTTCAAACATTTTGTGTGCACCCTAATTAGTGAAAGTTCACATGTGAAAGTAAATATACGTATTGAAACCTTATCTGATGTCTGATTCCAATCCTGAGCTTCTCGTTAGGCCTATTTGTGGCAGTTAACGACTAGTAATCATCATTTACACCATCTGTAAGGTTTACCTCTATCCTTTCACCTGTGAACAAATGATTAATAATGGCTTGTTTGTGGCTTGATCGCGTGCCTTGCGCGAACAACTGCTGTCGTCATTTATCTACAACTTGTCAATGTCCATTATCATTTTATTTACACCATCCAGTTTTTCTCTCCGTCTTTGATCAAATTCCAGTGGCAGGAATGTGTTTTGAATATAGAGCATGCCTCCTTGAGATTCTATGGCTAATGAAGATCATGTGAAGATCATGTCAGTTTCGAAAAGGAAGTAGGGAGGGGCGTTCCCACGGAATTAAGGAACGAAGCGAAGGCGGTAGCGAGTGGGTATAATATCTTTGTCGTACTTTGATAAAGGACACAAAACAGCCAAAATTAGGCCCGTGTTTAGCTCTTTATAAGCACCCCAGAAAGCGAATTATAGTTCATAACTGCATGAAAGTATGCTTTGGTTCTATTCTCTATCCTCCCACTTTTTCCCTTGGTTTTCCGTGTTCTTTTTTTGAGGGGGGGGGGGGGGGGCTGGAGGTGATTGAAGCCCCAAAGCCCGGTAGCTACACCGTTTTATTTATGCCCATATGTATTGTATATATTATGTTTTATTTATCATGCCCATATGCATGGTACATATCGTCACCGTTTTCACGAAGAGAGAAAAGTGGCCAGTAATCCTCATTTTTTCGAAATTCTGTTTTTGGTCTTAATTGAATAAGTGAACAACAACGAACATCCTGGCAAACTTCTGTGTTGTCAAAATCAGTTTAAATCAATGAAATCACCACTTTCTCTCTTCGTGAAAACGCTAAAATGTGTTTTGCCCTCCCTGCACTCACTTTTCTCTCTTCGTGAAAACGGTACGCTCTGTACGCGCAGTGGCGTAGTGGGGTAAAATGCACTTTCGCTCTTCGTGAAAACGGTCAAGTTGATCTAGGGCAGTGTTTTCCCCTACATTTGCGCATTATCCGTGTACACAACTATGGGTAGATGAGCACACGCGCGTTATTTTGTCACTTAGAAGATTTTGGTTTCCGCGTAAAAACGTAATTGTGGTCTCTTTTTGACAAATGGGTTCGTACTCCTCGGCATTTTTTAATAACAGATGCAGGTCGGTCTGCAAGATGATATGCATTATTTATTGTGTTACTGCAGTAGCTAAAGGGAGCTGTCGGGTTACTGTGTGTTGAAAATAGACAGTTAGACTGACAGTAACTTTTTTGTGTACATTCGTAAAGTTTTTCTTTCATTTTTTTTCTCCACCAAAGTAACTACAAGAGGACCCTTCAGCTTACTGATGGAATATTCATTTTGTCTGATACCATTAACGCAAATAGAACAAAAGGACGTTTTTATGACAATGACCGTATCTCATAAGTGCACTCTAAATGAAAATATGTAAATTATTTCAAAGTGTTTCTGTTCATCATTAAACTTCTTGTAACACTGTATACAGAAAACGATCAAGAGAAGTACTCAGATGATAAAATTCGTCAAAAAGCAGCATGCTTATGTGAAGATTTCAATTGCCAGGAGGACGTTTGGGAATTAACGTGCACAAGTTGTCGCGCTTAAAACACTGTATTGTTAGGGTCAATATTGCTTCATTGTTTGACGGTTTCTTATCAAATTAAATCTGGTAATGTTAAACATAATGACAAATCACTAGACGAAAATTCAATTTAAAACATTTTGTATTTCTGGAGCTGCTGCCCCCCCCCCAAAAAAAGAGTTTGGTGGTGGATAATTATCGAGACCACTTTTCATGTGGCGCGCCCTCTATTAAATAAAAGAATATTGGTACGGATGCTGAACTATTGAACAAAAATACAAACTCAGTTTCCGATCAATAACTCAAGAAATACAAGATGTATTAAACTGAAATTTCGTGCAATTAATTTCCACGATGTGTAACAGAGGGGTATTGAATATCATGAGAAACAGTCCAACGATAAAAATAATATGATCGTAACAATATAGTGTTTTACACGCGAAAAATAAACATTGATTTTCATTCGGATTGCATTTGTCGCGCTTAAAACACTGTATTGTTACGGTCTATATTGATTCATTGTTTGACGGTTTCTTATTAAATTAAATGTCGTAATGTTAAACATAATGATAAACCACTAGACAAAAATTCAATTAAAAACATTTTGTATTTCTGGAGTTGTTGCCCCCCAAACGAGTTTGGTGGTGGATAATTATGGAGACCACTATTTATGTGGCGCGCCCTCTATTAAATAAAAGAATATTAATGCGGATGCTGCACTATTGAACAAAAATACCAACTCAGTTTCCGATCAATAACTCAAGAAATACAAGATGTATTAAACTGAAATTTCGTGCAATTAATTTCCACGATGTGTAACAGAGGGGTATTGAATATCATGAGAAACAGTCCAACGATAAAAATAATATGATCGTAACAATGTAGTGTTTTACACGCGAAAAATAAACATTGATTTTCATTCGGATTGCATTTGTCGCGCTTAAAACACTGTATTGTTACGGTCTATATAACTTCATTGTTTGACGGTTTCTTATTAAATTAAATCCCGTAATGTTAAACATAATGACAAATAACTAGACAAAAATTCAATTAAAAACATTTTGTATTTCTGGAGTTGTTGCCCCCAAAACGAGTTTGGTGGTGGATAATTATCGAGACCACTATTTATGTGGCTCGCCCTCTATTAAATAAAAGAATATTAATGCGGATGCTGGACTATTGAACAAAAATACCAACTCAGTTTCCGATCAATAACTCAAGAAATACAAGATGTATTAAACTGAAATTTCGTGCAATTAATTTCCACGATGTGTAACAGAGGGGTATTGAATATCATGAGAAACAGTCCAACGATAAAAATAATATGATCGTAACATTGTAGTGTTTTACACGCGAAAAATAAACATTGATTTTCATTCGGATTGCATTTTTCGCTCTTAAAACACTGTATTGTTAGTTTGTTACGGTCTATATTGATTCATTGTTTGACGGTTTCTCATTAAATTAAATGTCGTAATGTTAAACATAATGACAAATCACTAGACAAAATTTCAATTTAAAACATTTTGTATTTCTGGAGTTGTTGCCCCCCAAACGAGTTTGGTGGTGGATAATTATCGAGACCACTATTTATGTGGCGCGCCCTCTATTAAATAAAAGAATATTGATGCGGATGCTGCACTATTGAACAAAAATACCAACTCAGTTTCCGATCAATAACTCAAGAAATACAAGATGTATTAAACTGAAATTTCGTGCAATTAATTTCCACGATGTGTAACAGAGGGGTATTGAATATCATGAGAAACAGTCCAACGATAAAAATAATTATGATCGTAACAATGTAGTGTTTTACACGCGAAAAATAAACATTGATTTTCATTCGGATTGAACTTGCAAGAAAAGAAAAGATAAGAAAAAACTTGCAAGAAAAGAAAAGATAAGAAAAACGTAAAATTTTCTATTCAAATTTTCATAATAACCATTGGAGAAATTGTTATTGTTTTTATCGTGAACTTGATTGAAAAAGAATGCGAAATCAAAACTCGAGGAAACAAACGCTCGAATCAAAAAGAATGAGATAAAGCAAAGTTGTTCTTTTCGTTCTCACTGTCACTTGACGCAGAATTTTGATCTGAAATAGAAACATACAGAGTACAATGTGAATTATTATTTCTTATAAATCTGAAGGAAAGTTGATTTAAGACCAATTGCATTTGTGTTCTAAGACATAAACACAAATCAGTTTGGGGGCAAAACCTAAACAAGCCCAAAGATAAGTAAACTACAACTAACGTCTTTTTATTAAATTAAATATTAACTAATTAATCCATCTAACATGTCTAATCTACACGCCCAACACACGCAAGGGCATGCAGAGCCTGGCAGAGGCATAATGCCACGCAGTAACGTTATATCATTTTTGATAAATATCAGTTCGCTCCGTTGCCGTAACGATGTGCTTTAAAGAACGAATTGTAAACATATATTAATTATCACCTTCATAGCCTTTACAGCCCGCAAGATGTTCTTCAACATCGGAACACCGGCCTACTCGTCAGAGCGGGGGAAAGTATCCTCTGAAAAAATGGAAAAATGATGATTTGTATAGTTTTCAAGATTAAACTCTGGCAAAAAAACCCAGACAGTCGAGATCCATCATAAAGCCTGTCACGGGAGATGGCCAACATATTCGTAGCGCGGGACATTTGAATTTGTTACTTTTTTTCCGGTCAGTAGTTTCGTAAAAAGTGTATGATTTGAGTATGCGTTATGCCCTTTTCTTTTCTTTTTATCAACATCATGTTTTTTTTTGTGAGGCGGCAGAACGCTATACCCCAGTCTATAACAAAATAGCTCAAGTTGTCTACTGACACTCATTTAAATGGGCCATGTTTTGTCGACCGTAAACTTGAAAAATGGAATCTCCATGGCAAACCCTTGGTGGCGCATTGCATTGTGAATCGCCCGAATTGTCTCAAGGTTAAAAGTAGACCCTGAAAACGAGGATGCCACAAAACGAGATTGATCCCGTCCTAAATTGCCAAACGTACTCAATTTCCAAACCTTAAAAAAAACCCCTGAAAGTTCATAATACGGTGAAATTCACTGTTGCTGCCTAGTTTGATATTGCGTGTTTGTCATGCGGTCCGCTCGGGCTAATTTCTAATCGGGCTAATTATCTACTTGTAAACATCATTTGTACAATCTGGATGGTTCATATTAATCCTGTAGATCGTTCCAAATATATATATAAAGCAAATAACCTGGTTTTTGTGACCTGGTCACGTGCTATGCAATATGATTTATACCATCTGTGCGCTTTGCCTCCATCCTGGTTTTCATGACCCTTTCTTTGCATAATTGTAATTCCAAAGATGGTGATGTCTTCAAAATGGTTAATAACAAACTAAGAGGAAGATGGAATAACAAACAAATCAAGTTTAGGCCTGAAAAAGCGGTGCGACCGGGCTTTTCTCACCAGCCAATATGGCGCACTGTAAAATGACGTGCAACTTTGAACGTTTGTTTTGGTGACGACCTTCTCAAGGTTCCGATCAACACGTGAAGTGAGTCTTTCAACACTATATGACATTTTAGCCAATAAGCCCATGAGGTCCTTAGGTACTGATGCCTTGCGCAACGCTTGACATTGAATTTTGTAAATGCGAGCCCCGATTTTTAAACTGAAACTCTTAAGAATGGATAATATACAGACAGGTATTGTGTTGCTCTACATTTTACTTCTGAGTTTGGATGATCATTTTGCTATCCATGCTGATTTTGAAGTCTTTCACAGAGATATAACCCGCGTTCAACGCAGTCTCCTGCGAGCGGAAGAAGCGTAAAAGGTGATGGAAACCAGGACGGAGACAAAACGCACAGATGGTCTAAATCATCGTGCACATAGCACGTGACCAGGTCACGAAAATCAGGAATATTTTACGTGTGGAACTATCTGCGGGATAAATTTTGCTAGTTTTAGACATGTGTTTTACAAGTTAATGATTACCGACGAAAAATAGGTCCAACGGACCACGCGCTCCAATATAAATTTCAATTGGCCGTCAGGTGAACTATTATTAAGGTTTTTGACAGTTTGAAATTCGGAAGTTTGGTAACTTAACAGTTTGTAACTTGCAAGATCTGTAATTTGAAGTATTAGATTTTTATGCTAAAGCGTACCCGTCACGGAATGATTATTTGAAGAAACCTGTTTTTTTTTAAAGGTATTTGCTGCATTTAAACGCCCTCTTGCGAAGAACGCTAAATAACAACATGGTCATGTAAGCTGCATGTAGTTATATTATATTTCAATAACCCGCTCAGTATAACTGCCTTTGTTAACATCTTACTGAAAGCTTTCCTGATGGAGAACTATCAAGTAGATGCTGTAGCACAATGAGCAGGGATGCTTTTTTGGGGGGATATTCCTCCGGCTTCCGACTGAAACGATGGAGCTACAACTTACATATAGCAATCGAAGGGGGAATTTCTAGCTACTAGATGGGCTCTCGATTTCAAAGGACAACCAAATTCCTTGTGTCTCTGATAACTTACTAACTTACTAAAACACTTTAATGTCAGAAATTTCAGTACAAAAAGCATGGCTGGAATCGCCTTGCCAAAATTTATTATAAAGGGTTGTCGCGTTGACACCGATAAAAGAGAAAGTTTCTCCAATAACTAATGATTCGAAGTAATTACGCAGCAAGTCATTAAGTCTTTTACTGGATCCAAATTGCTTGCACTAATTGCTTTGTTTGTAAAGATCCAACCACCTGTTGCTCGCGCGTGAAACTAATAAAGAGTGGACGATTTGCAACCCAGAAGTCAGTTCGCCATCGGACGTCATGGCCAAGATGGGACGCGCTCTTGCTCTGCTGCTGGCTGTTGCTACTACCGGTGAGTTACAACAATGTTGTCCAATGCCACCTTTTATCCTGCTTCAAAACCAGAGTAGTCATGTAATCACAGTTGCGTCACTAGTCTAGCCTCTAGTCTTAAATCAAGTCACGAGCTGCTCAAATAAACCGCGACAAAGTATTTCAATTTTCACTCGTACTCTTATTTTAATATTTCCGTTTATTAAAACTGACTTGTGTTTAGAATAGTGATGGAGTCATGGTTTAACTTGCGATGATTGGTGATAAACTTCACAGCTCTTAATTGCAGAATCTGCTTTTCCTCACCGTTATTAAAACAGTTTTCATCCCACCACCAAACAGCTAGGCTTTGAATTTGGGAGAGAAAAGGAACTCTTTTCCTTCAAGATTTAAAACTGGTTTTTGAGATTTGTTCATCCAACTCAAGCTATACGGACGACAGCCATAATGTAACATGGTGCACACGAGGGGAAAACAATCCCCTGTGTGTTTTTGTCTAGCTCACGCCAATTCAAGACGTTGTCTGTCTCGTTTGCAATCATAGTATCCGCCCAAACTACCCAACCATGTCCTTCTGGCTGGAGGGCATTCAATGGAAACTGCTACTATTTTGGGGATATGAAATACTGGACCGAAGCCAGAGATGACTGTCTGCAAAGAGGCGCCGGTTTGGCTATTATCACGGATTCGGCTACAAACGTAAGAGACCGAGTCGGTCCGACTGCGCTTGATTTTTCCCCCTAAAGTGCTTGACTTTTTCCTCCAATGCACACGGTCGTTAGATGCTCAAGAGAAAGTTATATTATTTTTGTACCGTAATTTGGAACTTTAGTTACCTCCGCCAATGAGTTTATGTGTTCATCGGCGTTGGTTTGTTGGTTGGTGGTTGGTTGGTTAATTGTCTTTGAACAGGATAACCAAAACAAGGATGGACCTTTTTTTTGGGGGGGGGGTGCAAGGTCCTTTGAACTCAAGTACAAATCGATAACAATTTGGAAGTGATCCAGATCTGGATGTGGATTCCGGATTTTCAAAAAGATAATTCACCACATTTCAAACAGAAAAGATTGCCACGGTGTGTACGCGTGTGTGGGAAACGCGCGCAGCGTGCAGTCTATGAGCGCATAGCGCACACGTCATACCAACAGGTCACATTCGTATGTTGCTATAAGTCATGCTTACTTAGGAATGTGCCGTAGAGTGACAGAGATTACTTTTTATAAGAAGCTCATATACCAAGTGCTGCTCTGGTCACTTTGTTAGCTTCGCTCGTACTGTCCCTGCTAAACGACCAACCTCTTTCACTACATTTTGTGAATAAAACACGAGAGTCAAAGTATTAAAGTTGTGGGTAGCTTCTTGTTATCGCACGTGATGATTCCCACCGCTGAGGGCGTACTTATGGTAATCTTTGTGTGTCTTATATAAAAGGACTATATCGCCAACATGGGCAAGCTGGAGAATCACGTCGGTACCTATGATACCCAGTTCTGGCTTGGTTTGAATGACCGGGCAACTGAGGGTGACTTTCGTTGGACTGACGGATCCAAGCCCACTTATGAGTAAGTCAATTAATAAAAGCTGTCAATTGGCGACTTGCTATGTACATGTATAATAGCATTGTTTTGGTAAAACAAAATGCCTGCAATTGGACCCTGATAATGTAGGCCACCAGATTGTAATATTCAGCTCTTCCTTGAACAAACATTAATGCTAATTCCGGGTGCCTTCCGGGTTCCCTGGGAAAACGTGGCTCAAAGTTTTGTTTGCATACTTTTCAAGTTCTTCGTAACCCTTGCAGGAACTGGGCTCCCGGCGAACCGAATAATTCGGGAGATGAAGACTGCGCGCAGATTTACGTAAACTCGAAAGAGTGGAATGATGCCGGATGTTCTTCGGCTATATGGCACTACGTTTGCCAACTGAATTACGGTAGGCATGAAAGACGACTCAATCTCAAACACCTCTCAAAATAATATCTATGGGAATGAATTGATACTTTACAAATAAGGCATATAGCTTTTTTTATGAATGCAACAGCCATTTTGTATATTGAAACATGAGGACAATATTGTAAATAGCAGCTGTTTTTTTACCTCTGACAAGGAGGTTATGTTTTCACCGAGGTTATGTTTTCACCGTTTATTTGTTGGTTGGTTGGTTTGTCTGTGGACACGATAACTCAACAACCTGTCGACGGATTTGCATGAAAAATTGTGTGAGGGTGGTCCTTGGTACAGGTACGAATCCATTAGATTTTGGAGGCGATCCGGTTGCAGATTTGTTTAAGGATTCTTCATCATTTTGGAGATGCAAGTATGCCATAGACCATGAAATTGGGGCACCTCCCCCCCCCCCCGAAAAAATTAGTTCAACCGTCCATCTCCGGGCCATATACCGTGCACGCATTGCAAGTGACGGACCGTGTATGTTACAGTCATTATACAGTCCCTGTTTTATGAACCTAATGTAAAGTGACCCTATGGAATTGGTACAATTCTGCTATGCATTTAATAATTCTGTATTCAACGAGTGAACAATACATATTAATACGAGTGCTTCTGCCCTTTGATTTCAGAACATGATGGATTGAGCATTTTAAAAGTTCCTCGTGTTAATTGGATGTACTTTACTATACGGCGGGGAATCGTTTAGCATTGGCGATGGTTGCGACCTCCGAGTGCTTTCTCGTTTATACCTGGGCTGTAGTTGGAAAATAAATATCAAAAGATAAGGCATACGTTTCAGTCTACTTTGTTTTTCCTAAGGTAGAATCAGGTATTTCCACCGTTAACATCGCATAAGCTCTTTTTCGTTTATAGAAATGTGACCAGAAATTATTATGATTGAATTTATTTTAGATGTGGATGAATGTGCCAATGGATTAGACAACTGTGATCCCAATGCTTCCTGCACTAACACTCCTGGTGGTTTCACTTGTGCATGTAATGCTGGCTACACCGGGGATGGTACAACTTGCACTGCAGGTGAAAAATTGAAAACAATACAGGCCTATATGATGCGTTTATGATAGTGCGTACATTTTATGTGATCAAAATACTGTGCTTAGATCACACAGGGATCTTTGGGCATGAAATCACGTTTTGTGCATGTACTGCAATATCAGATGAGTTCACACGAAAGCGTCAAAGCAAATCTGGTGATGACTGTATCCAACCGATTTTACAGACAAATAACAGCTTATAAACACAATTGAATTACGAGTTGATGTTATGACTTTGGCGGTAGCTAAAAGACGATGGCCAGACTGTTTGGCATTTCCACCAGAGTATAAGGTTGGAAACCATAAAAATCGTGCTTTCCTTTTTTTAAATGTATTTTTTACAGATGACACTTTCCTCTGCTCTGACGGGCAAACCATTCCTAAAGAGTGGGCTTGTGATCGTACCGTGGACTGTCCCGGTGCTGAAGATGAACTGAATTGCGGAGTGTAAAGCCTTAAGGTACACAATCATACAGTTTTACAATATGCCTTATTCACGAGGAAGACATCGTGTTCCCTGTACGAACATGTATTTTATAAATTGTAAACAGTTCAATTCGGCGATTCACAAGGCAGTGCGCCACCAAGAGTTTGAGACGGAGAGTTCATTTTTTTCCCAGAGCATTGTGGGCGATGGTCGACAGTTGAATTCGCAGCGCGGGACAATTGAAATCGTTCGTTTTTCCGGTTTGTAGTTACGTTAGCATATGATTCGAGTATCTGTTTGCCCTTTTTCTTTGCTGTTTATCAATATGGTGTTTTTTTGTAAAGCGGCAGAACGCTATGCCCCAATCTATAACAAATTAGCTCAAGTTTTCTACTCACTCATTCGAATGGGCCATGTTTTGTCGAACGTAAACTTGAAAATGGACTCTCCATGTCAAACTGTTTGTGGCACACGGCATAATGAATCGCCCGAATCGAATGGTGCCTGTCTGGCTGACCATTTATGTGTTCCAAGCCTCACTATATTTTTTTTATAATATGGCTCAAAATATTAGGTATGTTTAATCATAAACTTGAAATTATTCATCGGAGCAGACTGGTATTATTTTGTAATTAACTTTATGTCATAGCATTTATTTCTATTCGCAAGTTCATCAAATGAAGATTTTACTTCGTTTTCAATTTAATATGGCCGACTCGTGAATAAATGCATCTTTAAAAGCGTGGTTTTTGTCGGCAACGGAGCAAGCTTTTGTCAAAATGACATTACCTGACTGTGTGGCATTATTCTGCCTACGCCCATGTGTGTGTTGAGCATGTCAATTAGATTGGCCAATGTAAAAAAGTTTTTATTACAGTTGACTTATGATCTTCTCCATAAACTGGTCTAGTTTTTACCCCCGGATTATGATTATGTTCTAAGAAATACAAAGTGCGATTTCAAAATAAATTCTTGTCCAAAAGAAAGACGTTGTATCTTGAAGCAACTATCCTTCAGATTTATAAGAAATAATCTATTTTTTTTGTTTCTGTTTCAGATCCGAATTCTGAAGCTTTACATGGACTGGCCTAACTGACAAGTGGTTGCAAGAAATAACAGACTTGCCTTCAATTTGACAAGCTCTGTTTCCTTCTTCGTTTTGAATCTTTCTTTCGTTTTTTTTGAATTTGCATGCTTTCAAATTCTCAATGGTAATCTCCAAAAATTGAAAATAATGTATGTAGTGTAAGGACAATAATATCTATTAATATTCGTATTCTGTTTCCTTAGATCATTTTGAGCATGTCGAGTAAGCTGCTCAAATTTACGCGAATTCGTGGCTATTTAATATTCGTCTAAGTATATCGTCCATTTGCTGCAAATCCTACAGGTTTGGGTATGCAAATTTATGCGCGACGCAATCTTGGTTAGCAACGACACGAAGTCTTTTGATGCGTTGATAACAATCAGCTGATCCTATCACATGAATGCTTAACAACATGGCTGCCTCCCTTTACACATTCATGGTAACGCTGACAGAATACAGAAGACAGAAAGAAGTACGTTTTATGCACTGCTTTGAGAAACAACTTCAAATGACATTTTATTTTAGCTCCAAACTGGACCGAAGGCATCGATAGTACACGCCCGTTGAATGGTCACAATTTGTTCGTCAAAAGCGATAGTAATGCATAATTAATCACCGACTGTGCATACATATTACAGATGTTTGCTGTGCGAACGTCTATTTCTTTCTTTCAATTTGACTGTATTTTTTTGTTCAAGTTGAATTATGTTTACTCAGTCATGTTAATCATTTAAATAAATACATCCCGAAAGCTTGATTGGTAAGTCAAATCATTGTGATTCTGACCACGGAGCCGAAGAAAGTCATATTCGTTTGAGTCAGCATTAATTGTGAGAAGTGGTTAAATGTAAATCAGGGGCTTAATTAAAGAGATTTATATTTAGTCTTATTGAATTACAAATGAGATTATGATGTTTCTAATCGAAATAAAATTGTACCCTTTGCGTTTGGTGGTGGCAAAATGAGAGTGTGTGTTGTTCCTTTTTGGGGGGTCTTTTGATATTTCTAGGGCTAAATCTGTCGTCTTCAGAGCAAAATGAGACTCGTCGCCGTTCTAAACAACCTTCTCTTTTCGAAAATAATTAAGAGTGGCTCAATGAAAGAGAAAAATTTCATGAAAAGAGTGTTCATGGAAAAGAAGGAGTTAATGAAAAGTAATTCAGCTACGACCCTGAGCAGATTTCTTTTAAATCTCTTGCAAAAGACACACGTCTTTGGGCATTCCCACTCTCCAGACCTGATGACCAGCACACAAGTCTGTTAAACGCGAATACAGTTTCAACCGGCCAATAATGCGTCCTTTAGCCCGTCATACTCCCGGGCATTGCATGGGGAGAAGGGGAGGGGGTCTTGAATTCCCCAATTAGTCATTTTCTTTTCTGGAAATTCACCACCCTGTCAGCAAATTTGTTTGTTTTTCGGCCAATATACGAATAGCACCCCCTATTGTCCGATATTGTTCAAATTGTCTGCTCTGAACAGTCCCCCCATTTAGTCAGATTGTGTCCAGCCCCCCCCCCCCCCGCCCCTCCTCCGCTCACTTCATTTTGCGGCGGCCGGGTAAACGAAAACAAATCCTGGCTACCCTCCATGCACTACGGAGGGTCTACCGGGCTAATTTGTTGCCATACACTCCCATTCTAAAATTAGTCTGGCGATGCCCCTGGTCATTCTGCCTTCACGCCGTCCTAGATCCTCTGTTCTTGTGTATTTAACCTGGCCCTGGAACGACACTTTGATGTCAATCCTCGCCATATCAATGTCCAATGACCTATACCTGACTGGCTATCAAAGTAAGCCATCCATGCTGACGATTCAACGCTATGTACTGCAAACTCAGATGCTTTGTCAACTCCTCACTGTCAAGCTAGTGCTACTCTCAAACATGACCTTGAGAATATTGTTGGCTAGGTTAGTGACTGACTTGTCACCTTCAATCGAACGAAGACTCACCTGCTGTCTTTGTCCAGCTCAAGATAACCATCCCTCCCTGGCTTATTTCTGGATTCCTTGCCATTACCCGTCTGCTTGGATTGGATATTACCTCCAACCTCAGCGGGGTTAAATACATTTGCAATATAGCCAAAAGAGCATCTCAGCGTCTGGGTTGTTCGTATCATGCACGTCCACGTCGGTATCCTCCACCAACTGCCATACTCCATCTGTACAAGAAAGTCATGTCTTTGAAAGACCTCAAAGCAAACAAAGACGAAACTGGGACGTGAAATAAGTAATGTGTGCGTCTTAAAAAAAGAACAATGACAGCCAGGGCTTTTATGTGCACTGTATACTGTTGTGAAACTGTCATAGTTTGTTTTGCTGCCGCACTGTCTCAAGCTTTCGATCATCACGTGAGGTATGTCCCTGGTTTTATCTAGGCATGGTAGGACTTCTTTAAACATTGAACATTTAGCCGGTAAGCACAAAAGGACTTAATGTACTGATTCCTTTGAATCTGACACTCATTCAAATGGGCCATAAATGGGCCATGTTTTGTCGACCGGAAACTTGAAAAATGGACTCTCCATGGCAAACTCTTAGTGGCGCACTGCATTGTGAATCGCCCGAATTGTCTCAAGGTTGAAAGTAGACCCTGAAACGAGGATGCCACAAAACGAGATTGATCCCTTCCTAAATTGCCAAACGTACACAATTTCCAAACCTTTCGAAAAAACTGAAAGTTCATAATACGGTGAAATTCACTGTTGGTGCCTTGTTTGATATTGCGTGCTTGTCATGCAGTCCGCTCGGGCTAATTTCTAATCGGGCTAATTATCCACTTGTAAACATCATTTGTACAATCTGGATGGTTCTTCTATATCCTGTTGATTGTTCAAAATGTATGTATATAAAACGAATAAACCTGTTTTTGTGACCTGGTCACGTGCTATGCAAGATGATTTATACCATCTGTGCGCTTTGCCTGCATCCTGGTTTTCATGACCCTTTCTTGGCGTAATTGTAATTCCAAAGATGGTGATGTCCTCAAAATGGTTAAAAACAAAAAAAATGAGGAAGATGGAATAACAAACAAATCAAGTTTAGACCTGAAAAAAGCGGTACGACCGGGCTTTTCTCACCAGCTAATATGGCGCACTGTAAAATGACGTACAACTTTGAACAATTGTTTTGGTGACGCCCATCTCAACGTTTCGATCAACACGTGAAGTGAGTCTTTAAACACTATATGACATTCTAGCCAATAAGCCCATGAGGTCCTTAGGTACTGATGCCTTGCGCAACGCTTGACATTGAATTTTGTAAATGCGAGCCCCGATTTTTAAACTGAAACTCTTAAGAATGGATAATATACAGACAGGTATTGTGTTGCCCACATTTTACTTCTGAGTTTGGATGATCATTTTGCTATCCATGCTGATTTTGAAGTCTTTCACAGAGATATAGCCTAACCCGCATTCAATGCAGTCTCCTGCGAGTGGAAGAAGCGTAAAAGGTGATGGAAACCAGGACGGAGACAAAACGCCCAGATGGTGTAAATCATCGTGCATATAGCACGTCACCAGGTCACGAAAATCAGGAATATTTTACGTGTGGAGCTATCTGCGGGATAAATCTTGCTAATTTCAGACATGTGTTTACAAGTTAATGATTACCGACGAAAAATAGGTTCAACGGACCACGCGCTCCAATATAAACTTCAATTGGCCGTCAGGTGAACTATTATTAAGGTTTTTTGACAGTTTGAAATTCGGAAGTTTGGTAACTTAACAGTTTGTAACTTGCAAGACCTGTAATTTGAAGTTTTAGATTTTTATGCTATAAAGCGTACCCGTCACGGAATGATTATTTGAAGAAACCTGTTTTTTTAAGGTATTTGTTGCATTTAAACACCCTCTTGCGAAGAACGCTAAATAACAACATGGTCATGTAAGCGGCATGTAGTTATATTATATTTCAATAACCCGCTCAGTATAACTGCCTTTGTGAAAATCTTACTGAAAGCTTTCCCGATGGAGAGCCATCAAGTAGATGCTGTAGCACAATGGACAGGGATGCTTTTTGGGGGGATATTCCTCCGTCTTCAAACTGAAACGATGGAGCTACAACTTACATGTAGCAGTCAAGGGGGAATTTCTAGCTACTAGATGGGCTCTCGATTTCAAGGGACAACCAAATTCCTTGTGTCTCTGATAACTTACTAACTTACTAAAACACTTTAATGTCAGAAATTTCAGTACAAAGCATGGCTGAAATCGCTTTGCCAAAATTTATTTTAAAGGGTTGTCGCTTTGACACCAATAAAAGAGAAAGTTCCTCCAATAACTAATGATTCGAAGTAATTACGCAGCAAGTCATTAAGTCTTTTACTGGATCCAAATTGCTTGCACTAATTGCTTTGTTTGTAAAGATCCAACCACCTGTTGCTCGCGCGTGAAACTAATAAAGAGTGGACGATTTGCAACCCAGAAGTCAGTTCGACATCGGACGTCATGGCCAAGATGGGACGCGCTCTTGCTCTGCTGCTGGCTGTTGCTACTTACGGTGAGTAACAAATGTTGTCCAATGCAACCTTTTATCCTGCTTCAAAACCAGAGTAGTCATGTAATCACAGTTGTGTCACTAGTCTAGCCTCTAGTCTTAAATCAAGTCACGAGCTGCTCAAATAAACCACGAAAAAGTATTTCAATTTTCACTCGTACTCTTATTTTAATATTTCCGTTTATTAACACTGATCTGTGTTTAGAATAGTTACGGAGTCATGGTTTGACTTGCGATGATTGCGATTTGACTAGTGATTGGTGATGAACTTCACAGCTCTTAATTGCAGAATCTGCTTTTCCTCACCGTTATTAAAACAGTTTTCATCCCACCGCCAAACAGCTAGGCTTTGAATTTGGGAGAAAAAAGGAACTCTTTTCCTTCAAGATTCAAAACTGGTTTTTGAGATTTGTTCATCCAACTCAAGCTATACGCACGGCAGCCATAATGTAACATGGTGCACACGACGGGGAAAAAATCCCCTGTGTGTTTTTGTCTAGCTCACGCCAGTTCAAGACGTTGTCTGTCTCGTTTGCAATCATAGTATCCGCCCAAACTACCCAACCATGTCCTTCTGGCTGGAGGGCATTCAATGGAAACTGCTACTATTTTGGGGCTATCAAATACTGGACCGAAGCCAGAGATGACTGTCTGCAAAGAGGCGCCGTTTTGGCTGTTATCACGGATTCGGCTACAAACGTAAGAGACCAAGTCGGTCCGACTGCGCTTGATTTTTTCCCCTAAAGTGTTTGACTCTTTCCTGCCATGCACACGGTGGTTAGATGCTCAAGAGAAAGTGCTATTTTTTTTGTACCGTGATTTGGAACTTTAGTTACCTCCGCCAATGAGTTTATGTGTTCATCGGCGTTGGTTTGTTGGTTGGTTAATTGTCTGTGAACAGGATAACCAAAAAAGGGATGGACGGAGTTTCATGCGTTTTTTTTGGGGGGGGGGGGTGGTGCAAGGTCCTTTAAATACAAGTACAAATCGATAGCAATTTGGAAGTGATCCAGATCTGGATGTGGATTCAGGATTTTTAAAAAGATTACTCACCACGTTTCAAGCAGAAAAGATTGCCACGGTGTGTACGCGTGTGTGGGTAACACGCGCAGCGTGCCGTCTATGAGCACATAGCGCACACGCCATACCAACAGGTCACATTCGTATGTTGCTATAAGTCATGCTTAGGCCTACTTAGGAATGTGCCGTAAAGTGACAGATATTACTTTTTATAAGAAGCTCATATACCAAGTGCTGCTCTGGTCACTTTGTTAGCTTCGCTCGTACTGTCCCTGCTAAACGACCAACCTCTTTCACTACATTTTGTGAATAAAACACGAGAGTCAAAGTATTA